AGAGAGAGAGAGAGAGAGAGAGAGAGAGAGAGAGAGAGAGAGAGAGAGAGAGAGAGAGCTCGCATTCTCAAGTTAAATCTTATTTTATTATCAATCAGAAGGATTAATCTTATCAAAAATTATCAAAGACATATAAAAATGATATATAAAAGATTTTATTTTTACTGCAAAATTACTTTATTTCGTTTGATTCATCTCTTTTAATGTGCTTATTATATAAAATTTTTTTATCTCGCTCGTAATCGTCTCCGATTACGAATCCTTTTTCAGCTTCAATGCATTCAAATGATGAAATTCATTCTCAACGCGCGGTACGTTATTTCATTAAAAAATCACGATTCACGATGTGGCTTAATTACGATTTTCGTGTCACCGCTCAGGAACTAAATTAGCAAAGTGAGAATATTTTAATGCGCCAATTTGCACGCGGAATCCAGAATTATTATGCTGGGAAGAAACTGGGTCAACCAGGTTGATACAAGATAAATAACTGGGTCAAACGCGCCATTATTGCCGACTCGGGAGCACATTATCATGTATTTCGGAAACGCGCAACGGCAGGACGAAATTGACGGATCGATGAGAAACAGCGCGTGCGTGCGTATGTTTACGAATTTCGATCGCGCTTATGCTTATCTACCGTTACCGAAGCAAAACAGAAATCGAATCGCGACTCTATCATCGTCTGTCGAGCGAGGTGATAAATTGTAGATAATAAAAAGGCGACGCTGACATTTAATAATTCTTGTCTTCAGACTTACTCCTGATAAGGATGCTCGATTTCGAGTCGCACGTGGAAACTTTATTATTAGAAAAAAATAAGATTGCAAAAATATAGTCAATATAATCTCTGTACGGCTTTTAAAGACTATCATAAATTTCTATTTCGAAATATAATATGTATCTCGCGATGTAAAAGATTAATAAATATTGAACCAATTAAACAAATACTTGATGATGCTGCGCTATAATTTTTAAATTCCAATAAAAAAATACCGACGTGACTTTGCTCGAGAACTAAAAGTTAAAACTGTTAGAGAGGAGAGATGAAATATAGACGAGTCATTCTTTGTTGATGACGTAGTCATCCTTATTTCTTCGAAACATCACGTGACCGCGCGAAATAGTGGCCTAACAGGATCGTATCTCCCATCGACCTCGAGACATGTTAGACCAAGATCAACCTATCAGAAGACAACAGATCATCCATCATGAACATTTGCAACTAATCATCGCTCGAGAAATTCGTTCGCTGGCAAATAAACGTATCTACTCTGTTACACATACTATTTGAAAATTAATACAATTGACTAAAACAATTGAAAATGTGCGTCCCATATTTTCGTCTTGTAATTTTCACTTTTTATCTTTTTTTTATATTTAATGGCATAGTCGATTAGAGTAAAAAAAAAAGAAGAAATGAAAAAAGATATATCTTGTTTCTACGACTATTACAGCAAAAATATGATCTAACTGCAATTTCAAGACTTGCATATGAAGCAAAATGAATTTTAAAAGAGATTTGCAAATTTCATGCAGATTTCCGTCATTTCCCACCCAGTCTCGTCGCTCATGAATCACACGTGGCAAACCTGTTTTTCGGTGAAGGCCACCTTTCGTTCTAACGTTCGTCACATTTAGGAAAACAATATTTATCGATACTTTATCTTTAAAATATTGCTACTGCATTATCGTATCTGATCTAACGATATAATTGCATTTTTATACTTGTTATTTCTCGCCTCATTTATTGTTAGTTTTAGCTTTTAATGGGCTTTTAATAAAGTATATATATTTTTCATATATATTTTTACCGAAATATATACAAAGATCTGTGCAAAGATCATTCATATATACAAATGTATTACGCTCCAAATATTACAAATCAATATAATTCAAAAGTGTTGACTTTGACACGGAACGATTCGAAGAAAATTGTGACGAAAATATCATTTTTAAATTCGATATTTTCAGAGATATTGACTCGTTTTCAATAGATCAGATATTTCTGAGGAAAGCATTTTTTGCAAAAATATCCGGTTCATGATCTCTTTATTCTAAGTATAGATTGCATTACATATTGCACGATGCACCAACGTGCTCTTTTCATGATGTTTATCGTCAACGTACAACCGTTGCTGCGTTCGATCATTACATGAGTAAGCCATTAAGTGGCTTTGATGTTCGAACAAAAAGCCATCAAGAGCAAATCGAATTACTGAGAACGATCGCGAGCAACGCGTCTGTTTATTCGCTAAACGGAGTCGCGTAAACGCACCGTAGTTTTAGCAATTTATTCAACTTGGCACGTGTCTAGGCGGAGATTGTGAACTGCGCGTAGGAGGTCACGAAGCATCGTTTCATATATAACACAACACGCTGCGCATGCGAATTTATATATTTCCTTATACCATAAATTTAACTGTGCATGCAAAATTATAAACCGGATATTTTTGTGCAATATTCTCTCGGAAATATCCAACTTGAAGAAAAGCAAAAAGTAATAAAACTTATTTTATTCGTCGAAATTTGCAAACAGAATATCTCTATAGCGCTTTATAAAAATTAATTTAATATCCCAAGATCGTCAAATTTGCACTTGATTAAGCAAATAAATCGCTGCAACGTAGGAAATTTAACTCGCGAAATTTCTCGACCGCCACGCAATTCCGTTAGAGGAGCTATCTAGCGCGCGCGCGAAAGAGAGTTAAGGTCGCCATCGTGTCGAGCGATGTATGACGTCAGCCCGATATATTTATGAGCACGCCCGAAGCCGACTTCTTCGTGCAAATAAGCTGCGAATCGAATACTACAAATAGTCCGTCGTCCACCCATCGCGATACTTTCCACTGACAATTTTTCGATACATGTCAAAAAAGGGAGACCTTCCTTCCCTCTTTTCTCTCTCCCTCTCTCTCTCTCTCTCTCTTTTCGTGTTCAAGGTCTTTCGCGACGCTTTTCACGCGCGCTTTATTGATCGCAGTGACCAGCCGAGTTTCCAAGGTAGCACGTGGCCTTTCAGGTGATTCTCGGGCAATGACACCCTAATAGTCGCGTGGAACCGCTCAATAATTAAGAGCAAGAAATATTTGCGTCCGCCGATGTTATAGATACGCTTAATAAGAACGCGTCTACTCGACTTGTTAGAAGAAATCAGCTCGAGTAAATTGCAGAACCATTACGCACCGCAACTTGTTTCTTATAGTGCCATATATCGAACAACCGTTATACTGTTTGGATACTGATTATAAAAGTAGGTGAAAAGTACTTGTAAAAAAGTACTAAAAGTACTTTTCTACAATTAGGAATTTTTTAACTTACTAATGTAAATCTAAAAAATTCAATTAAATTCCAGATATATCCTACAAAATTCTTATTAATATTGTAAATAAAAATATATGATTTATGTTTAATAAAATTCTCTTATTGTTCGTTGAAAAGATCACTAGAAATTATAATTAATACTTTTCATAATTTTTTGTTTAAATCTAATAAATCAAAATTTTTTTAATATTCCTATCTGCTCTCCGGTTATATCCTATAATAAATTTATTTTTAACAAATTTATTATTTTTAGAAAGAAAGAATGCACTCATAGAACTCGTATATTTCAATTGACGCAAAATGTCTGGATCAAAGAATTAATTTCGATTAATTAAAAAGCCGTATATCTTCGCGCTTGATTCGTACGTATATGCGTTCGCGAATAAAAAAAATACAGAAAGTGGATAATAATATGATTTTGATGCAAAACGATGTGGAAAGAGCCTCGCGTGGAATTCACGTGATCGATCTTCTGCGTCAATAAAGCCAGCTCCGATATCGATTCGATCGAGTGCGAATCGACAATAAGATTTTCGCGAGTGATCGATGAGAGGCTAAAAATACGTATATACGGCTTTATGCTCTTAATTGCAGATACTTCGAAACACGGCAAGGGTTTCCATGCTACTCGAGGTAGTATCGAATTACGGAAGGTATACGCCAACGGCACTTGGAGGGTATCCCAATCGTGCGCGGGCGAAAGCTTACGCCACGATAACTCGAGAGGCAAATTCTCCGTTATTGTCAACCTCGCGCTTATAATTGGCTCGCGCGCGAAATTATCAGGGAATTACGTCAGCTTCGATTTTGTTAGCTATAATTTATAATTTGTTAATTATAATTTTTAAATTATTAATTTAAACTTTATTAGAGTTCACGCATATTATGCTGCAGGTGACTCACGAGCTTTTGCATATTAATCTATCGATAATAATTACTGCAGACAACAATATCGGATATAATTACACCTTAATTTTATATACAAACATTGCGAACAACGCATTATTGTATTCTTTAATCAAGGTGTAACGGTCTCCCGCAATAAAATAATATTTATCCTAATCCAGTAAAATAATTTTGTCCTTTTTTAAGAAATAATTTGAACAATTTTATGGATCGTGATATTTTAGTTTAAAAAAAAGAAGGCACGTTAAACAATTCTAGAATATTTTTCCAATCAATAGAAGAATTCAATAATCATTTCTCAAAATATGATAATTTACAAATTATCATTCATAATTATCTTAAGTTTATAATTAAACACAGACGTATTAATAAATAATCTAAGTGTACTAAGGTGACATAATTTCCCGATAATTCTAAACACGACACCGTATCGTATTCTGAGACGTTGAAAAAATATCCCCGGGAGATTATCTTCGACCTTGAGCAAGTGTATTCAATTTGATCGGAGTATTAATAATCTCGAAGCGTCTCAACGATTCGTCGGAAAGACGAAGCTCTATTTCTCTCGAACAGCGAGACCGAGCAGTAAGAGCGCAAAAAAACTAGCCGAAGGCTCTCTCCGTAAGTGGATGAATGTTTAATATTCCACATCGATAATGATCGATGGATCGCGTAGGCGATCGCCCGTTTCTTCGCGCGGCCGCCATGCGTGCGGGAAGGGCGCGAAAGAAGGGGTGGCAAAGTCCAATACTACTATATTGATCACTGACCTTTCCTGCGGCCAAACGGCCCGAAGAACGTGCCGTTCTTGCCGATGACGTTATCGTCGATGTACTTGAGCAGCTTCGTGGTGTCCTCCCCTTTTTTCGCGGCGATCGACTTGACGGGGCGTGGTGGGACAGCCCTCTGATTACCAGCCACCACGGTAACATTGATGTTGGTGGCGGGCGCGGTGGTCGCGGCGACGGGGGCAGCAGTGGTGATGGTAGTGGTGCTCGTAGTAGTAATGACGGGGTTGTTGAAGGCTACGGTAACGGTGGTGGTGGCGGTGGTGTTGGTCGTGGTCGTCGAGCTCGACGTCGATGAGGTCGGCTGGGCGGCCTGGTGGCCGACAGCGCAGCTGGTGGACACGGCGACATTCGAAGGACACGTCTCCTCCGCCAGGGAGCTGATCCTGCGCTGCGAGCCGCTCCAGCTCTTGCCGCAAGAGATCTTCACCGAGCAGCTCATCCTCTCGCGATAATCGCAACGGGGTTCATAGTAAGGTCGATCAATCGCGACGACGGTGCATTAGTCACATCCGGGACGGCCCGGCTGGTTCTCGGCAGGAGTAACACCAAGGGATTCCGTATCTCACTCGGTGCGCATCCCTGCGCGAGATATATATATATATAGTTCGAGGTAGACGGTTCACGTTAGTCGCACGTGTTTATTATCACTCCGCTTCTACGCGTCGAGTCGCGAGTCGCGTTCGCGATATCGGCGCTCGCTATTTCCACAGTCCTACTTTCGAACCGACTCCAACGAGAAAAATGATTTCCCGGAGAGACTTTCTTCTCCTCGACTCGGCACCGTTTTTCTTCGCTCAACGTCTAATCCCGTGTCTTGCGTAAGAATATCTCCGAGTTGCGCATATCGGGGTGAACGACCGGCGATTTAACCTGGCGCTTTACTCGCGCTCCTTAAATCTTCCTCTGCCAACGAGAATCTTGCTAAGGATCTATCTCTCGACGTCGATCGCGGGCGTCAGCTTCCGCGACAGCAGATTGATGCGGAGCGCGATACAACACGTACGATCTACTCGAGCGCCGAGGCGAGACTGAGTGTCTGGTAGACTGCGAGCTGCCCGGTTCGCCAATGACGTCACCTGGCTACGCAGGCGCCTGAGAGTCTCGCCATGCTGCGGGCGCATCTTCTCTCTCTCTCTCTCCCTCTCCCCCCCTCTCCTCGTCCCTCTCACTCTAGAGCGAAACGCGCATCGCGATATCGCGGATGGATACTTCTGCGGCGCAAATTGCCGTAAATTTGCCGACGCGTGATTTCTTATCGGAATCGCTCCGAGACTGTTTGTCAACGATAGTTTTCAGAGCACGTTGTTATCCCGATGAACGCGCCTCTATCCCGCGCGGATTCTCTTTCTCTTTCGCGTCCCCTGCTCCGCAAAGATGCGCTCGCGTCCCGCGACACATACGTATACAAATGGCGGTACATACTTTGAAGGGATATTCAATTTTTGGTAGACACTATTCGAGTTGGATTAACTATGTGCATATTTATCGATCGCATCGCCTTTTCGCGTGATTAAAATTGCAACGCTGTTTTCACGGCACGTTGTAATGCAAACGTGCGAGTAATCGATTTCGCAAACGAGATACACGCATTGTGCTCGCTTTGAAATTAATTAAGCGAGACTTACGAGAGATACGTGATTAAACCTAGATTGCCCCTCATATTTTTTCGACGATATTCTGGAATATAATTGATGACAAATTGTCTAGTTAAAACATTACTTTTTTTAATCCCCTCGGAACACATTCGGTATTCAAAAAAAGAATTTACTTTCTAATATAATAACTATAGACATGAATTAGGCATTTCTTTCTTTTTCTCTCCTTCCCTCCTTCCGATCAAGCATTGCACGCAACTTAAATAAAGAAAAAACATTTTAATCAGTATTGTTTTTTCTTTCTAATCTGAGTCGAAGAAAGATAAAGATATCATGGAAAACATTGCGCTTTCTTTCTAATATTAACGCATTTATTAAGACAGTGCGTGCAATTTACTTTTATCTATAGATACAAGTAGAAAACAAATTCTTCAAAACCTTTAAAAGATATTTAGCTATATTCAAAGAAAAGATAATTAAATAGTTTCTCGATAATTTTATGTTGGAAAAAACAAAATGCGTGATTAAAACGTTTAAAAATAAAGTAATAAAATAATATTTTTTTATCAAAATTGTTATTTAAATAAATCTTCCTTAATAAAATTATTATTACGTATCTCGTAAAAAATATTTTAATAAGATTATAAAAGCTACTGTAATTTAATCGACGGTCTTTGATGTGTTTACATAAAATTTACTAATTAAAATAAAGATGCCACTCTCTTCTGTTACTTTTATTTCTGTTATTTCTAAGCAAATAAAGATTAAAACTCATATCTACACTTAAACCATATCTTAATATGACCCTATAGATCATGCCCCAGGTTTGAATCCGAGTGTTATCAAAAATAGATACGATAACCCAATTAAATCGCTTAATCAACACCTCCCTTCTTCTGTTTTCGTTATTATATATATATGTATGTCATCGCAACAACACGATGACAAATGGACACGAGTCGACGTAGTGTTTGTGTAATGAAGAGAAGAATAAAAGAATAAAAGAATAAAATGAATTTCACGAAGTCAACACAGATAATAATGCAATATACATGTTTATATCTTCACAGCTGCTCTTCATGTAACACACTCGAACGAATGTCTCTCTCTCTCTCTCTCTTTCTCTCTCTCTCTCTCTCTCTCTTTCTCTCTCTCTAACAGCTGAATAATTATCGACTGATGAGCATTTTTTTTTATAGATAGTTAATCATATGGCTAAAACCAAACAACGAAGTTCATGCGACAACATTGAAATCACTGTGTATATTGATCGTAAAATCATAAATTATCGAACATAAATGAGAGCTTGAGAGAGCCATTAAAGAGAATCATTCGTCAAATAGAAAAATAAATTAATAAATCGCGTAGACAAGATATCCGCAAAAGCAATCTTTTTTCGAAGCTGAAAATCATTTCTTACGAATGTCTTCTCCGATATGAAGAATCCTAAATAATGCATCGTTAAAAATGTCGTTTATTATTTTTTACGACTCTCCTTCAAAATGCCATTAATACATTTACTTTGTCAATTCTGTAACAAGAAAAGTACACGTGTCATTTGCATTCACGTGATCGTTTGAAAGAACCACTTGTGTGTATTTTATGCTATTTATATTGAACTGAGAAACCTCGTGGTCTATTTAAAATATGGTAAAAAATAGAGGTACAAATTATTTTGTGATTGCATGAATATCTATTACCGTGTCTAAATTAATCGTCGAATGATCTCAATTCTATACAAATTGATATCAATTAAATGATAAACATCTCTTACCGACATTATTTTATTGAAATTCCTCCATGTGAAATGCCTAAAATATTCATCTCTTACTAAAATTAAATTCACGAATACATGAACCAACCAAGCGAATGCAAATGTTCGTTGTTAAAGTTCGAAAGAATGCACGAATGAGATCTTTGTCAGCTTCGTATTTGGACCGATTTACTTATGAAGCGGTACATCAAAGAAAAATCATGCACAGTATAAATAATCTCAACATGAATGTACAATGTGAAAAGAAGTGAACAAACGAGGAGCATGAACGTAAATGTCCGAAAATTCACACTTGCTATTCGTTTACTTAGTACATACTCAACTTAAGACGAAAATACGCGAAGCAATTCTCGTCGCTGTCTCATCACTTGAGTCTCGCGTGAATGACAACAAAGTGACACAATAGTCGCAAAAACGAGCACCAAGAGATAGAGAGAAGAGAAGGAAAACATCGTATGCCAATTTATGGTCGTCATGAAACATTTAACTCATAAAAATAAAACATATAATATAAAATTATATAAAATTATTTCTCTTGCCTGTTGTATTTTAAATTAATTATTATCGTGTATTTTTTATTGGCTTTATTTTATAGACTTATTGTTAGTCGCTTAAAGTTATTAATTCCGCTCGTTTTTTCAAGATTTAATAGAGATTACATGATTTTATATTTTCTTCCAATTCTGAATAATTATTGCGCGATCAAAATCTATCGCTATATATAACCCTCCTTGATGAGCAAACTCTCCATGGTAACAAGGGTGGACTGCTGGAAACTTCGAGGTTGAAAGATCTGGATATTCTCGCCTTCCGTCAACGTATATATAACCTTGCCACGCGTAGAAAGAAAGTTCTTTCAGATTTCTCGCGAAAAATATCCGAAATGCTGAAATTTCAACAACGTGCCACTCCGGAGGATCTCAAGATCGCCGCGTCCATAGAACGTAAACGACAACTCGAAGAAGCGAGGAAACTACGTATCTTTAATCCTCGCGTTAGAAAAATTGGAGTAAGAGTCAAATTCTGCCTCTCTAACTACATTAAAAGATCGTTTATTAAATTTTTGTATCTCTTTTTTTTCACTATCAAATTTTCAATTTTAAAATAATTTGATTAAAATCTTATTTACTTAGATTTAAGTTGTAACTTTTTTTAATCGTTTAACAAAATTCGCCTAAATAAAATATATTTTCGACTACTTTATACGTTTTCTTATTTCTTCGTACTTAATTTATAAATTCCAAAAGTATCATTTAATGCAGCATGCAACATTAATGTAACTGTTAAATTTTAACATAGAATCTTAATTGAAAAGTTGTTTCAATATGATACTATGTATGATACTATGTATTTGCATGATTGTTTCCCTGACATTTACAGATAGACAAGGCATTCTTGGATAAGCAAGTCGAGGAAAAGCAACGACAGCATGAGTGGGAACAGGCGAAAGAATGTCAATTGGACGAGGCACTCATTCGCAATAGCGAACTTGCCGTACATTTGGAGAGGCAGCAAGAGGAGGTAATCGAGTGCCGTCAATGCCAATAATTACGCGGGAATGTTCACTCGATACAGCTGGTATTTGCAATTTTTCGGAGCTACGTGAAGACGTCGCGATAAGAAACATTCGATCGTGGTGGAGAACGCTTTTCTGTTCGCAGGAAAGACGAACAGTAAACAAGGAGATTGAACACTTTCGGCGAGTGCATCAACGAATCGAGGACCGTCGAGATTATGACCTCTATGATCCCGAAACGTTAAAGAAATCACTCCCATCGCGAGTGGACGACGATGATCCGAGCTTGGGGCCAGCATCTGCTCAAAAGTGCGTCAATAGTCTGATTAATTCCACCAATAGATAAGTAATAAAATAATAAGATAAAAGCAAATTTATCTCGACCTTCCAAAAAGATAAAAAAGAATATATGCAATGCTTATGAAATTTTTTCTTTCTTGTCACCAATGACCTCTCTCTCTCGGCAGTCTTTATTAAAATTCTCTTAATGTCGAAATTAGAGCCTATTATGGAACGATTTATTTATTTATTAATCTCTAAAATATACGATTATTATAATATTTTGATTATATATAATATGTATTTTTTTTTCTCGGTACGATTAAACGAATTTTATACTTGTCGTGAGGATCTTCGAAGCAGATAATAATTTAACTTGCAACCTGTTCACCCTGGCGCAATGATAATGAACGTAAAGAATCGCAAGAAAGAGAAGAAACAGTGAAATATTACGGCTGTGCAGGTTCGAGGGCGAGGATCGCAATCTTCGCGAGCGATTGAAAGTACAGAGGGAGCAGATGCGTTGGTGGATCCAGAGGCAAAAAGAGGAACGCGAGGCGGTTGAAAAGGCACGACGAGATACCGAGGAAGCCTATCAGGAAGTCGTTCTCTCCAGGGACAAGCGCGCGATGATGCTAGCACGGATGGAGGAAGAATGTCGACGAAGGTTGAATGAAGCTACGGCGACATTTAATCGAGCCCTGGTACATAATATTCTTTATTTACGTCTTTGACGAAATCTGACGCGAAAAACGCGAGAGATTGTGTACCCATATAATCTACTTTATTTAACAAAATTATTAGTAAAATTAACTGATCTTCGAAATGTTTTTTTTTTCTAAATTGGTACACTGATGCGACGCGTGCGATGCTATTGTTTACAAATCTATTTCACAAATTGCGTTTTCCAATTAGAAACTGCTTTATTTGTGAAAAACAACATCGTGAGATGGCATATCCGATAAAAGAATAAAAATATCTATATTTGAATACACGCCCACTTATAATGAGTAAAGTGAATCTGAATATTGCTCTACATTTGATATAATAATGTTGACATATTAGAATATATATACTACTTGTCTATTTATATATGCCTTTGTGTTTCCATTCTTAATATATATTACAGAATCAGTCTCTCTCTCTCTTTCTCGTTCTCTTTTTTTATATCGGATCTTCAAAAGAAAATTGCAATCTAATCTACATATAAATTGTACTGCAAGAAAACCTGAATTTGTTTAAGTAAAAGGACTATACGAGAAAGATAAATAAATGCTAATCTAAAAATATTTTTAAAGAAATTTTCATATGGAGCATTCAAAAATTTATAGAATTAAAGTCGATATTCATTTATGCTATTATTATTGTAAAGCTGTTTTCAGAGAAAACAAGTTTTTGCCACAGCTAATCCTGTCTTTTGTCGCGAGAATAAAAGTGATCGAAAAACGTTTAATTGTAATCTATCACAAAGAAACAAAAGATTTTTTGCGTAGTCCGCATATACATTTTAACTCATCGCAGAATATAAAAGTCGCCTACATGATTCTCTCGCGGTCGATGAATAAACCTCATGACATCATCGTACAAAGTGCCGCGATAATTTGTTCCGATAACCATAACAAAGTACCGTCAATTTTTCCTTCCTTCCGCCGTCGTAGTATTTAACTCAATATTAATCCTATTTCCTCGTTTGCACTGGCGTCCCTGGCCCTTTTTCTTCGTCCCTGGCAGGTTCATGGAATTTATTTCCACTCGATTGCAGGCCGAGGAGCAGCAGCAACGCCGTCACTGCGAAGCCATTCAAGATGAGGAGGACAAGAAAGCGGAAATCTATAATCACGTGACTGGAGATTTCCTCACTGAAGCTAGGGAACAGGCCGAGAGCACTCGCGGTCCGTACAGGCCGTTGGCGGACCGATACAAGGGCATGACTGCGGACGAGTTGAAGGTCTTCAGGGACGCTCAGCTGGAACAAATGGAAGAGATTCGAGTTAGTACGAGGAAAGGAATTGAAGTTTTTATCATATTAACAGAGAGAATCTAAGAAATTTAATCTTCTTTAACTACAATATAACTTCCACAAAACAATTTTGCTGTTGATTTAATTCTTTTTTTTATACTTATTTTGTCAATTATTGTAACTTTTAAATTTCGCGAAACGAAAATTTATACTTATTTTATAAAAATGATTAGAACAATTATTTTTTAACAATCGGTTCCAATGCGTAAATTCATTTTTCAGAATCAAAAATTTCGCAAATCAAATATATATGATTTAATAATATACGTTAATGATATCTGTAGATAAAAATTGAGTGCGTTATGTATGACGCCATAAAATACCAATCCATAATGATACGTATTATTAGCATATTCAGAACAGGTGTTTTCGATTTAACGCAATATATTTTAAATATTTGCCGACATTCATATAAATTCACTTCAAAATATTAATTTTAAAATTAACAAATATGTTTTTCTTTTCAGAAAATCAAGTTGCAAGAGAAAAACATGAACGAAGATTGGGATCGCTTAATGAACTCGCATCTTCAAGCTGCATATTCGTATGAGCACGAATTAAATAAAAAAAAATCGTAAGATTCTGCAACTATTTTTTATTAAAAGTATGGTGTTTTATATGTATATTTAAAAGATTATATTTTATAATACATTATATTCTTTTGCAGTGACTTGAACAAGAAAATTGCTGAAGAAAATTTACAGCTTGCCGAGCAACAAAAGTTACATCAGGAATATCTGAACCGTGTCATTTATAGAAATCAGCCAACTGCCGCCTTCTACGAACAATTTAACAAAGGAACACGTTGAAAGCATAATCATATGTGCAATATATCTTTCCAAGATTGATGTAAATTTTAGAAAATAATTTTATACATTCTTTTTTATAAAAAGTGATAAATCAATGCATATTATCAATCTATTATACTGGCAAAAAATCGAGGCATCAAATTTCAATTATCTAAATGTATTCAAATAATTAATAAAATTCTCCTTTGATTTCTCTTTGATAAGTTTAATAAAAAATGTAATATTATCTGTAGTCGATAATATTAAGTTTGCTACTCAATCGATATCTGTCCATGTGCGATAAAGGCTGATGACAGAGAATGAGACGTAAGCGCCTTATATCTCGTTCTCTGCTATTAGCCATATAAATGTTGCAGAAATGGATAACTTTGTATCAATGGTTCCGATAAATTAGGAAATTAGCCGAATACTGATATCGATTCTCGATAACTGAATTGGTGATATTACAATGCATGCAAGAAAATAATTCAAAAGAGATTTTACACACGCATGTATACAAAATACAAAACATTAGGAAGTTAAAAATTTAGAAGATGACACGTTGTGTGATATCATATATTTCAATTGTCATCTCATCAAGATAAGATTGCGCTACAATTACTTTGTTTCTTTGATTGTCGAATAGAATTTAATATCACAGTATTTATATATTTAAATCCTCACTCTTTTTACATAGTATAAAATTTATTAATTATGTATTCTAGAGTATTTATATAATTTTTTTCTAGAATTTTTTTATAATTTTATATCTTATGCTAAAATATATTTAAACGTAATATTTAAACATGTATTTCGGTAGATTATATAGTTTATAAAATTTGTATTATGCTATACATGTATTACTATAATCGCGTCATGTTTGCATTATTAAAGAGCTTATGCTAATATTTTAGATTTATCAAAGTATTTTTTTGCCAAACATCACTATAATGACAATAAAAAACCTACAATACAAAAAGTATCATATTTAAATATCTGTGAGGAAGAATTGAATCTTATGCTAGAAAGAAGAAAGAATAATGATCATATTAAATCATTTCCGTTGTAAAAAAATCCGTAAAAAATAACGTATTTGAGATATAAAATATTTAAACAGGACGGATATAAATGATATAATTAAATCATCGTAAAATCTTTCTCGGAACGACGACACGGCACGTGTGTTTACTCTTCTTCCTCCTTTCCTTTTTCTCCTCTTTTCCTCCAAAAAACACGCCAGATGACTCACTTATTATCAGACGAGCGGAGTGCCATGGCCAGGACTTGTTGTATCTGTATCCTGACATCTAATTTCTTTTCCTCTGGCACCTGTCTAATAATTGGCAACAACGATAGGAGAAACATCTTGTCGTAGTCGTCCTCGTCGAAGGTAACGCGTTGGCTACTATGCGAGGAGAGGATGTCGTGTATCTCGTTGTCGAAAGGCGTAAAGGACGTCTCGCAGAGTTGTTTCGAATAACGCGGACACACCTTATAAGATGGAGTACCTGCTTGAAGATATTCTCTACTGCCCGTTACGGAAGTGCTACCTTGACTAAGGGGATCGTATTCCTCGATCACGGGATTGTCCATCTCACCCTCGCTCTCCTCCGACTTGCAAGAAATCATCACGGAACTTCTAAATCAAAGAAATACGAATGTTATGAATCGAATTATTACGTCGTCAATCAATTATATCAATTTTTGTTATAAAGATCGATGAGCGATACCTTTTGTTTTCCACTGTCGGCATGAGAAACAGCAGTCGATCGAAATACATATATTTCTTCCGCTTCCGTCCGGCAGGTCCGGACTTTTGCGATTTTTGAAGTTTAAGTTCTTTCATGAAATAATCTCGTATATTCCTCCATTTTCCGCGCAAATTTTTTTCTAAAAATATCACAGTTCGATTAGTTTTATTTAAAATTATTCTCGGGATGTCGCGAGATAAAGATTATAGTAAAATATTAAAAACTTTTGAAATACGCAAGAGAGTGAGATCCTCATTAAATCTCTAGATACACAAAAAAACTTTTTAATAACACTGATTCCTTTTATGCTGAAAGGAGGGGGGGGGGACATGAATACGCAGGGAATATTAATATTAAAGTTATACAGAAAAAAATTTTCGAAACTTTCTTAATCCAAGGAAAAAAGCACAATAGTCAAAGTAATATCATTTGACGTCATATTGACGTTATATTGGCGTCAAATTGACAAAAACATGACATAAATTTGGTTAATATTATTACATTAAATTGACTTTCATTTTTGTGTCCTTCTTGGAAAGTTTCTTCGTAAATATCTTTAATTTTAATTTAAAAAACGTAATAAAATGCATGTCAATGTAATTAACAAAATTAAAATGCATCTCTTCATAATTTTCAAACGTGAAATCACAAAGAGATATTAGAAAGTCTCTCTAATGCCTTTGCATAAAGAGATATATTTTAATTTGGTGACATTAATTACATTAGGAATTTTATTAAGTTTCTTATTAAATTAATAAATTCAAAGATATTTATGAAGAAACTTAGGAAAGTTTTGAAGATGTTTCCATACATATATATTTACTTCTTCAAAGTTATACTAACATTAGTTAGTATCCCTACGTATTTATTTATCCTGTTTTTTTCCTCTAATTTTTTTATATTCGTATCTAATGCGATCTATTTAGAAGATATCTGTACGATCGCGATGGTCGCGCGGAAGGATATCGATTCGCGCGAATCCTGAATGTTCATCGCGGTCGACAACGTGGACGGCAACGCGGCCGGAGGAATCCGGATCGATGAATCGCGGCGCGCCGTATACCGTGTTATATACCTTCCACGTTTCTCTCCTCGTCCGTCAAGCGCGCCCAATTCGGTACCATCACCTGGCAGACCTCGTCCCACGCAGTCATCTTGGCATTACGGTCGTTGTACTCGCCGCGATTCACGTCGTAGATCGCCGGTCGCCTCTCTATCTCCTCGATAAACCGTTCTGTGTCAAACATGTCCCGAGATTCTCTCTCTTTCCTCGGTCTTCCCTCGCTCGATCTTCCTTCTACCTTTCCCGAGTCGATCTCGCACCTTTTGCCGCGAGACGATTGGGCTCTATATTTGAAAATCTTTTCGCGATCGAAATCGGAAATCGGCGATGGAGGGATCTTTCATCCGAAGATGCGTGAAAGAAAAGTCTCTGGAACTTGAGGAGTCACGCAAACGATCGATCGGCGATCAACGATCGATTCGCGTAAGACAGCTCTTCCGTCACACCGGTGATTCTCCGATTGATCGGCACGGTCGACGCAAAAGGTAGCAACGGAACAGCCGCAGGCGGTCCCAGGCAGGCCGTGCGCGTCCAACGTTCGCGTCACGTCGCGTCCTCGGCAGCGGCTTGCGCGTCACTGCGGAGAAACCGTTGCACGGCCAGCACGGCTTTGGTATCATGGCGACCCGGCAAATGCGGTTGCGGTTGCGGAGCGGAATCTATGCCGCCCGCGACGTTGCCAGACCAGCGCATCGGTCGGGCCGCGCGCGGGTCGAGAGCGGGCTGAAAGACGGAATCGCGTCGCCGCGCAACACCAATCGGACACGTAGACTGCCGGCGAGATATTCGCGTGTGCAGGATTCTTTTTTTTTCAGGATGTTGCGTTTTATTAAGCTGTTATCGCGGAGGCTTTCGTCATCGTATTCGTCAAATAAAGCTCAAATGCGAGATTACAGTTTCGGTGCTATTAAGTAATTGCCGTTGACTGCTATCAATTTTTTCCATCGAGATATTCTTCGCGATTTATTCTTTCCTCCACAGAATTCTAGATTCTGCACCAACAATATTCTGCAACAAATAGTTAGAAGTATATTACATAATTTTATGGAAATACAGAGAAAGAGAGAGAGAGAGAGAAAAGTTTAAAATTTTATTTCATCTTTCGATAAAATAATCTCTTAAGTTTGTAGCCTGTATTTTAATTTTTCGTAAAGATTGATAAACATGAAATATATGGCAGCAGGCTTATTATAGCAATGACAAATATGCTAATTACCAAATGCCAAATAAATTAAGATTAGCTTGTAAAAATGTCTCACAAATATAATAAATAATATAATTGCATCGAATTAACAAATTAATACAATCTCTACGCAAATTGAATAAATAGACTGAGCATAAAAAAAGAAATATATCGAACAACGATCCTAACATGTGCATTGGATTTCTCTCTGTATTTTGCAATGGGAAAAAGATAAGAGCAATTATCGAAATAAGAGAGAAAGAGAAAGAGAGAGAGAGAGACGACCAATTTACCTGATAACGAACTTCAAAAATAAAGATGACAGTCGTAAAAGATTCTTTTTATATACATCATATACGATAAATCATACACACTATTTGGAGAGAATATAAAGGTCGATTGCTATTTTCCTTTACACAAACAAGCGGAGATCTACCTCTCGCGGAGATGTTTCTCTCGGAATTAATATCATTATCGATATATCGATGAATTTTGCAGGCGACTTGCAAATACACCCTCTGACACGAATGCGGAATTCGTGCCGCCACAATGTTGCCAAGCTCTCCGCCCTCGGTGTCGGAATTCACGTGTTGCTACGCGACATCACGCGACATAGTCGCGTGTGCGACGAACGTGTGTGCGTGGTCACGGCAACGTCGACGCGTTTCCACCGCACCGTTATCGACCGTGGCAGCCGTTGCGGATCGCCAATGAAATCGACGCTATCGTATCGGACAAACGTGGAATCGCCACGAGTCACACGCTATTTCCTTAACGCTTATCTTTCCGATGTATTTACATTTTGTTCCGATGGAAAACTACGTTCTACATATCGCATCTATATATAAATTTTTATTTTTTAATTATTGGATTACTTTACTGAAAAAAAACTGTTGGGAAAAATACAGGGGGAAAGTTGAGGAGCGGTATTTTTAGTGGGGATTTTAATTTCGTTGCATGTTAGAGAAAGTCCAACGAATAAATTAATAAAAGATTGCTTGCAAATATCTTATGATACAATCCGTAAAACACGTCATTAAGAATGAGATAAGACATTGATATTGTACAAGTGTGATAAATAGGGTCTCGTATGAATGTATGAGAATCGGAATACGAATAACAGCCGTGTAATGTAGAACTTTGAACGTAAAATTACGAGAAGATTACAAGGGACAGTAAGTGGCATTAATTCACAGCAAGTGCCGTTTATTCAAACATAGGAACGATTCGTCACAAAGTCGCGCGCGCTGATCCAACGATCAATAAGGAACGAGCAATCGTATGATTCCAAGTGTACCACGCATAGCGAGTATCGAAAGTAAACATTATTCGACTTTGCGCCGTTCTTGAACCTTGTGTCAATCGCCTACAATACACATCTTGAACTAATTATCGCGCTTATTGTATTCAATTTGAAGGACAAATTGTCAGCATTAATCGCAATATTTTCTATCTCAATGCCATTGAAATCAAAGTAATAATAAATTGTAATTGTTCTCTAATAATCATATTTATTGGATCGATATGTAATAATTTGTCGCGGCGGCTTTATAGTTCTTCTAGTTGGCAGAGTTGTATTTATTGCCCGACAAGTTATCCATTCATATGTGAATACAAAGTACGTACTTATTACGCGAGTGAGAAAGAGATGAACACATTACGCCTGTGCATGACGTTGGGTACCGTACCGGTATCCTGCGCCGCAGCTGCGAATAGATTTCGAAGAGGGGGAAGCATCCGGGTGCGAGCGAATCGAGAATTTCGAACTTGCCAGTGGAAGGGCGCAAGGACCATAAGGGGAGCGAGGATGGAGAATAGGAGAAAGAGAGAGACAGAGCGAGTTAACGACGGAAAAGGGCGGCTTCGGGTGAGAGCAGGAGAAGGAAGTACGGAGAGGGAGGGAACACGACCGCATCGAAGGTAGACCGAGCGAACGTGAAAGAGAGAGAGAGCAAGTGTGAGAGAAACAAGGACAGATAGAGAGTGAGCGAGATATGAAAAGAGAGAGTGAGTATAGTTCGAGGGAGACGGAGTTTTCGTATCTAGGCACTCCTCATCCTCATCCTGATATCTCCGCTCAGTTCGCATCAGTTCGTATAAACGTGACGATCGGATCAGCGGCAGGTCGGGTATCTTGGCTGTATCGACCCAATCTTACGTCAACCACTCTTCTCGTTCTTCACGTGTTACCGGAAGCATTTGTTCGAGCATCATGTCCAGCGAATTTCTTGGAAAGCGTTACAAGCTCTCTAGTAGCGAAAACTTTGATGATTTCATGAAGGCACTCGGTACGTACTCGAATCGTGTTATTTTTGGCATCGTTTCGATCATCCAAGGTGCATTAGAAGTCTTAATTTAGAATCCGTGATTGTATTTATATTGATTATTAACGTGGAAAGATACATGATAAATCTGAAAAGAGTGATACATCCTCTTTAATATCCTCGTAATCATAGCAATTGTTTTAGATTATAATTATTTGTCTGATACTTTACCAATTTGAAATGTTACTATTTCACCGTTAAAACACTATCAAATATTTCTGTTGCAGTTTTGTTGACATTCTGTTAACTTATCTCCAATTCGATTGATCTGTTGTACAAATCCCTTTTAAATTTTGACAGCCGGATATTGAATGTTGCGCAATATTTAACAAGTTTTTTCCTTTACGTATTATTCTCTGTTAGAAAGACCTTCCTAAAAAAAGAATTATATCATCGTGTTTAGTATTAAATGCCTCATTTTAATATAAATATCTTATGTTAAATACAATAAATAAAATTGCATCGTTCGATTCTGATACAAATTTAAAATAGTTTTGTTGACGTTACAAAATTAGATAATTTCGTATAATATCCATTGACAATACGACAATCTTTAATAATAATTATTACAAATTATTAAAGAGAGACACCTAAAAAATCTGAGTCCTCTAGTACAATAATGAACGATAATAAGACAATCCATAGAATGAGTTCTTTAACTTTTTTTTAAATAACTTTAAAAACTTATCGCGCGATCTAAATTGCTTCGTATAAATAGCCGATAAATGTACATATTATGAGAATATGCTATATCGTAATAAAATCTGTTATTAAGACACGCTATGTTTGTAATGTATATATTCGAAGGTATAGATATATTGCGGTTTTGCGAGTATGTACAGAACGTGAACAAACATATGATTATTATTTGAAAGACATGAAAAGTGTGATACAAACATCGAAGAACCTCTCAAAGAACGTTACATGACACTCGAAAATAGTATTTGCTTATTCATAGAATTTCAAGAGAGCATTATATGTATTCGAAAATATCATCGAAAGTCATATTTATCTTGGCAGATCGGTCGAGATATATGATAATTATAATTTTATATAAATATGAAATAGTAATAATATATAATTTTAAATATTTCCATTTTAATTTCAACACACAATTCCGTCTATTCACAGCTATTTCGTTTATTAAAAGCACAAAAGTATATATACTCGTATATATATAAAATTTCAATGTAAATCATTTACGCTTTTGTACCATAAATTTAATCAGTTAATTAATTGTACTGGAGTCGCGCTTATGCTTAGTAAGATATCAATAAAGACGGGAAAGGTAATCAATTTTAATATGTCAAATTACGTCTCTCATCTTCGTACAATGACCTGACCTCGATCTTAATTCTAATTGTGTACTGTAGATTGTCTGATTGACTGTCTAATTTAACACTTGAGAATTAACTCATTAAAGAGATTAATAAATTATAATTTTTAGCCACGGGTCACGTAATTGCGCGTAATTCAAAACATTCGCATTTTTAAAGATTTTTAATTTTTTAAAAAATTTCTTGTAAAATATTGTAGAATTCGTGATTTATCGATCATGTATCTTTTTTTTGACGAATGACGTAAGTAACATTAAATCTTGTTTCTAAATAAAAAATTCTTAAATATTTTTTTTTCATAAAAGGAAAATAATTCTCCTTTCCTCGATTTCATCGAAACTGCATATTTATTGAAACTGATTACATATCTAATATTTGTTGATTCAAAAATAAGAAATAGATAAAGAGAAAAAATAGATAGTATCACGATATATTCTTTCTGCTTCTCTCTTTCTCTCTCTCTCTCTGTCTGTTGCTCTTATCATATCAGTAATTTGATACAACGGATTGAGCAAAGTTTGCAGAAGCACTGACTGTCAACATTCCCACCCTCGCTCGACGTTGTTACAGTAATCATCGAGAGTCGTTCGCCGGAAATTAAATAAGAGAGCAAGTCTAGACGCACTGCGTCTTTCGACGTGCATCAGGTCGATTATGTCGCAGAAAATAAAGTTCGTTTTTTTCTGAGAACACATACATGCGAAACCGCGGCAAGGCGACGATAAAATCGATAAACGTCATCGGCTCGGCACAAATGTAAACTTGATATTTTGTTATCATCTGGTCGCAAGATAAAATTATATGGTTTTTCTCATCAAATTACTTATTGTTAGAAAAATATATTTTTTCGCGATGCATTTTTTGAATACGATTTTAAAAAGCCACGAAATCGTTTTAATCAAATCAATTCAAATCAAATGATATTCGCTGTAAAAGACGAATAATTTTTTTAATTGCGTTCTGAGTTGCATTCTTAACTTTTTGATGTAAAAAATATGTTAATCAAGTGAATCGTCAATGTCGTCTCGGGTCAACAAATGATCGGGATGACAAATTTCACTATCACTGATAATTTGCATATTCTTCTCATCAGAATAATTTCTGTATATTAGAATACAGCTTATGATCGCATTTAAAATGAGGGAAGACATATGATTCACTATTCTATAGTTAAAAAAAATCACTGTAAAAGGAGAGATATCTCTAGATTTTCATTCAAAGCATTCTTGTTAATTCGATAATAAGATTCGACACCTCATACTAGTGCATTATGAACTCGCAATAAATTTGCATGTGTTAATATCATTCTGATGAAGATAATTTTTTCGCAGTCTATAAATAGCACTCACTCACTCATTCACGGAATGGGTTCAAACTCCAAAGTTTCATCTTGCCTCGAACTCGGGGATACCACTTTTACCGTTTGTAACGACTCAGCCTACCTATTTAGATGTATAATCGATATGTATAGTCTCATCAATTGTAGAAGCATGTATAAAACATGCAAACTACCCGCGCCATCAGTCAGTTTCGTTTACGCAAGCAACGGTGAAACATCGAGCAATGTCGTCCGAGATATTAACCGGTATTCTAGGCAAACGTTACAAGCTCCAAACGAGTGAAAAATTCGACGAATACATGAAAGCTTTAGGTGAGACGACACTATTTGATAGATTATCCGATAATTATCGTGATGTTCTTTTACAAATAATTTATCTCCAATCGAGCGATTACTTCTTGACAACAATATGGGATTACTGATCTTTAAATTAATTATAGTGATAGAAAAACGAAAAGTGAAGAGTCTTTCGTGAGAGATAAGCTTCAAGTTGCAAGCTGATAACAAAATTTTATCTTCCATTTAACTACAAGAGGATTTTTAATAGACACGCAATTTAAAGATGATCAAAATTCAATACGATATCATAATATACCCTTCGTTAGTTATATAATTTTATTTTAATTTTTGTTCGGGCTACATTTTTTTCACGTTTAAATCTTGTAATGTAATTCTTTTCAATTAATTTAAGTATATATTATTGTGAATTTGTTACCATATGGAAGGAGCTTTGATACTTTTCTATTTCAAATTATACTTTGCAAAATGTTAACAATTAAACTTGAAAAAACGAGTCATTTAAAAATGGCATCTATCGAATTCGAATTCTTATAATAGAAAACGCTAATAAAAAGTATTTTTATCTTATTTCAGGCGTGGGTATGGTGACGCGGAAAATGGGCGCTACTGTCAGTCCTGTCGTCGAGTTGACGGAGAAAGATGGAGTGTACACTCTGAAGACGACTAGTACTTTTAAAAGCACGGAAATCAAATTCAAACTCGGCGAGGAGTTCGACGAAGAGACCGTGGACGGCAGAAAAGTGAAGAGTACTTGCACTTTGGAAGGTAACAAACTCATTCAGGTGCAGAAAGGCGAGAAGGATACTACGATCGAAAGGGAGTTCACACCTACGGAGATGACAGCGGTAAGCAATTTTCAATATCAGAAAAATTAATTTAATTACATTAATTTAGTTACGCATCGTAATAAAGACATTGTCAATTTTTGATTAAAACGATTAAATAATAAAATAATATAATATAAAACAGTTATTCATAACAAGTTATTCATAATCTAAAACTAGTAAGATATAAATCATTTTTGCTATACAACACACTTAATCAATATAGCTTATGACTGAAATTTACATATAAAATTGATATAAAAGATTGAAATTAACATTTAAAATGTAAAAAACATTTAACATATGAAAACAATCAACGTCTTATAAATTGATAAAGTTATGTAAACTTACAATTATGTGGCTGTGAGAGAGTTTATTATTCATATCTTACTACTTTTAGATCAATAATACTTGATCGTTGTACTTGTGATAGCAAGATAACATGACCTTTAACCAAGTATACAAGCAAAAACTTTTTAATGTTTTCATGTTTCCTATATAAGTTTGCAAAAATTATAAACTGATAAATTTGTGTAATTGTATTTCTATTATATTGAAAATAATTAAAAACATTTGAATGAAATGTCATTAATATAATAACAAATAATATCATTAATTTGTAATGTGAAATTTATAAAATATAGTGTATTCTTTATTATTTTGTCTACGCGCAAACATAGAGGAAATAATTAAATTATTATTACCTTGAGGAAAATTATCTTTCAATTATCATTATATTTCTCCTTCAAAGTAAGCAATTTTCTCTATTATCTATTTTGAACGGAAACATTCAAGAGAGAATACTGTTTTAAATATCTCAGTACGTTCACTCGAATAGTATGTATTAATAATTCGTAAATGAATAGAAATTTGATCATTATAACAATGATGTATTTAATCGTAATAGAAGGTATATTCGTACGTGCTTATATTCTTCTTCTTAAAGACTTCTTCAAAACTTTGATGCGTATATCGCTTGTGCGGTTCCCGATTAAAGTACAAAAGCTACGTGCAGGAACGCAATGTATCAAGGGACCGTTGCACGAGCGGCTAATGTTATAATGATCCGTCAAATGTCCGGCCAATTATCGCGTGCGCTTCTCCTGTTCGTGACACGTACAATTCTGTAGCTCCGAGAGCCAAAATGGTGCCAATAAAGATCCATTGATCCGTCTGGCGATACGTGTTAATGCCGTGAGACACCGGCGCTCGAATAATTCCCGCACTCTTTTCTCTCTCTTTCTCTCTCTCTCTCTCCCTCTGTTTATCTTGCGTAGAAACTTACTGTCACAATACTGATACAAAAGATTACTATTATTATGGCAAAATCTTACTAAAATTATGTTATTTCTATTACAGATCATGAAAGTTGATGACATCGTTTGCACAAGGGTATACAAACTCCAGGAATAAGTCAGTTTAAAAACTGAGACGCGTGCACAACCATGTATGGTTATGCAATATGCTTTTAGAAGCAAAAGATGTAAAAGTTATTGTTTAAAATCTTGTCGTTGGAGCACAATAAGATACGTTTATTCTGGTGTGCGCGTATTGGATCGCATATATAAACCACTTAAAAACTCGTGTTGAAATATAATTGAAATTACGCACAATATGTTCTTTTCCTACAAAGTTAGAATTTACATATTTAATATATGCATGTGATTATAAAATGAATATAGTAAATAATAATTAAAACGTTAGTCGCTTACGTTGTGCACATTTTCCAATGTATTTACGTATTACGTATTACACGATGAAATATTATCGGTGAATTATGTTCCATAAAGCAGTATAACTGCCTTACCTATTGTATGAATATGAATAAAGTTTTTTTTCTACAAATAATGATTAATAGAAATGTGTACACGCATTTTCATCACAATCTTTTTATAAACCTAAACCTTGTAACTTTCTTAGAACCCGTATATATGATGAAAAATAAAATTGTATATTTAAAAAAAGATCTAAGATATCTGAAGATATATAAAAAGAGCATCAATGAAAATATATTAAATATATTTAATTATTTAGTAATAGAATTTTACAAAATAGGCATATTTCGATTTTTAATATGTCTTAAACCCATATTATCACTACTTAATCGTCCGTATCTATTAATGGAGATATCTGTAAATAAAAGATATGAAATTGTTATAGTATACCAAAAGTGTCATATTAACTGACTGTTTATATAGAATGCATGCTGTGAAAATTAATTATAATCACTCTGATAACTACACTTTGTTATAAAAATATCTTACATAGTATTCCATGTAACAAGTATGCCCATTTTCGGTTTTTATCATATATTGAAAGTTTAATAGTCCGGCATTACTGGTTCTTAGGCAAACTTTGTTGGCACATGATAACGCTTTCATTGCCGGTTTAATATGTATTAATTTGAAACTGGATGTTGCCGTTGATGTACATTGAAAGGTATCTACTAGAGCGCTATCATGAGGCAAATCAATGTGACAAATACCGCCTAGACCATTTGTACTAATTCTGAAGAAAGGCTCATCTGGTGATAAATGAAACTAAAACGTGAACATTGTATTTTTTTTAAGAAACTGAAAAATATTACTTCTGCTTAAATAATGATTAATAAAATTATTCTCATTATACCTCTACTAGTTCACTAGTTGGATCTAATTCTGCTATAACATCCTTTAATAATTCCGTTTGCAACACTACTTTATTTACAATGTTTTCAGCTTCTAGATGAAAATCTAATAATGTATCTGTCTCTAGCGTTTTCAAAGAACAATCTGTGATTACACCATCTTCTTCAATAATAATACTCAAAGGAAAACCTGTACCCTATGATAGATAATAATAATATTAATATTGCTTTAAAATTTATAGGATATTAGATTTATTCCAACATTCAGTTTACTTTATAAAATATTTGCACTGCAACTGAATTATCTTGTGAAGCAGGCCAGAACATACAAAGGCATTCTATTAATATATTTAAACTTAGTGAAAAGATTACATCCTCTTTTAATTCAAACTCATCAAAAACTGCTGATGGAATATATACAATAGCCTGCATACATTTTGCATCTTCTACTGTAATTTTCAATCCATTTTCACTGCCGTAGCAAATAGCTGTAGTCTGAATAGTAATATTTGAATATATATGAATATTTTGCATAACGGTAGAAAAACAAACATAAATATAAATATATCTGAAGTACCTCTTTAAAATTGATAGCTTTTAATAATTGTATTACAATCTTTAAATTTGTTAATCCCATTTTTGCAACTAATAAGTAATCTTCAACATTAGAGAGCATTATGTTTGTATGAAACTTGATATAACAGTAAATTATCAAACTGTTTTTGCGTTAATTGTTGGTGTAATAATTTCTCATTATCAACACTGGCTAACCAAGCTGCCAAAACATGTTTACAAGTGAAAGCAGACCGATCTCCTAGTACCTGATGTCTATAACATTATAAGAATTGTATAAAAACTTTTTATAACATATATAAGTTATTTATTATAAAGTATAAAATTTTGAAAGTATAATTTTGCTACTCTATTAAAATTCACAAGTGATTTATATAGAATTATACCTAAAAGCCGTACAAGTACAATAATTTATTTCAGGAAAAAGTGTATACGACGCTCCAGAGTGTCCCTTAACTTGCATTAACCAACTGGCTTCGCTTGCATTCTTATATGGTTCTGTTATAATCGTACTAGACGTCGAAACTTGTGTTACTCGTCGTTGTTCATACAAATCTAAGGCTCTTTCAAATGTTCCATTAAATAACTTATATAATTTTAACAAATTTTGATCGGAAACTGAAAATTATCAAGACAAGCGGAAAGATAATCATGATATTCAAATTTTGTAATTTATTCTCGTTTTGAGTTTATTAAATCTTTTTTTCTACAAATAATAAATTCTACTTTAAACAAACTACGTACATTTTTTTTCTTTTTCAAAATCATCGGCTGTTTCCTTTAGTATATTGTCTACGAAATCTGGATACTGTTGATCGTATATGGTAGGTGGTGAAAAGCCGATGTTTTCTTCTTCATCTAGATTCATTAGAATATTAAAGCGAATGAAAGTTTTGAATCTAAAGATCTAAATTTTCTCTGAACTAAAAAAAAGGCACTGTTTTCTTATTACAAACTGTTCTCTTCAAAATACAGTGGGGGTGGGGGAATGTAATCCATAGATAATATAAGATATAGTTAGGGTTGCCAGATTTGAAAATCCCGAATGGAGGACACAATTTTAAAAACCCCAAAAAAAAGGAAAAGGCAGATGAATTAAAATAAATAAGTATTGCAGCCGTAATTATTAATATATTTCAAACTATAATAATATATTTATATTTACGCATATGTTTATATTAATATATTCCTCTTTTCTGCATATCACAACCGCTCGACAAAAAAAAGAGGGAAACATTTGCTGAAATTGGAGGACAAATAACGTCCTCCGGAGGACAGAAAAAATTTTACTAAATTGGAGGACTGTCCTCCCCATTGGAGGACGTCTATCCCTAGATATAGTTGAATTCTCGTTATTGGATAAGCGCATTTAAAAATACCATAAACTAGGAAATATTATAGAGCCAGAGCACAGCATGCGAGATAGAAATTCTCTCTCTCCATCTGTTTGAATTTAATAAAAATGTCAGATCGAGACATAAAAATATCTATTTCTTTCTTTGAATTTAATTTTTCCGACTTTTGAATCAGAGAAGACTGAGAGATCATGGTCATAGCCTGCTTTTATTTATTTTATTTTATTTTTCTTTTTTTATTGAGCAATAAGCGCGCTTTGGCTAGTCATCATACAGCTTGATACATATAATTTATATCGTCTATTGGTAAGATTTAGCAATAGGTAAAAATATTGGAGTCATATAATAAACTTCTTTGATACTATCGTAGCTTATACAAATTAAACTATAAAATCTTCTAACAATCTTAATACGTAAACGAAATGCTTAAACATAAAGAAAACATCGGCCTGCTTTTAGATGATCCCTGAAAGCGATACTCCCTCTATGGACATTGAAAACGTGGACATGAACTACAAAGCTAATGTCCATGAATGTTCTCAGAGGGTAATATATAATGTGTACAATTTCTGGTTTCGTTCCGTACTATGTGCATGAAATGCCGGTAGCACCAGAGTATAACAAGACATTTATGTATATAAATTGAGTAAATAAATTATTCAATCGCGAATACTGTAATATTCAAAGATGAAATAAATATTTTTCTATATTCATTTATATTACATATTTTTATTTATAAAACACAAAATGCCTGCTGTGAAATAAAAACATTTTAACCGTATTTCTATAAATACGGTATTTCTTAATTAGCAGTAAACTGATCTTTGATATTTATTAATCATTTTTTTAATTATTTAAAAATTTAATTATTAATATATTTATAGAATTTATCAAATTAATCACTGATTCTTCTAAAGTTTTTATAATTAAGATTCGAAAAATATAGATATTGTAAAATATTTTAAATGTCTCTCTCTTTATATAAAATATAAAGAATTCATCCCAGCAAATACCAAGTAACAGTTATACATATAAGTGATAGTTGCAATTTCCCACTCAACAATATAACTGTTATATAACTTACATGTTATATGATAAAAAAATTAAGTAATATATATTTAACTATTTTGTTAATTTTTTCATATAATTCTTTTACATATATCGTATGAAAATTTTGTTATGTCTGTAAAAAGATGTTTCAATTCTTAAGCACGGATTTTACTTTTCGTAATTAAAATATATATACATATATATATATATATATATATATATATATATATATATAGCATTTATTAAAAATATTACTAAATAACTACAGTATAAATAACTACAGTATCTCTCTTAGTCTCACTCTTCCCCTTCGACCTGTTCGGCATAGGTGACCTTACCGGTAACTATTTAGATAGCAAAAATAGTTATTTTCATCTCATTTTGACGCGATTTGATTGGCAAAATGACATAAAAATGATTATTTTTACTATCCAAATACATTACCGCCGACATAGCTCTCCGGATCATTAGAGTACTCAAACCTCTTCACCCGGCAAATGCCTTCGTTAAGGTGGAGATACCATCGAAGAGGTAAAATTTTTATTACAATCATTTTATTTAAATATAATAAATATAATATTATTTCATAAAATAAAGGGAAATATACAATATATAACATACAATAATAATATTGAACTGTAGAAAGTAACATTCATATTTTATAAAATATAATATACTTATATAATATAATTACATATAATTATAATATATTAATTATAATATTTATAAATTAATACAAAATGTCTTATTTTATAAAATTATTTTATAAAATTATTACATTACAAAATTATTTTACTTATAAAGTATTGAAAATATATACACTATTGTGCGTATTTAATACAATTAATATATATTTCATATTCAATATAAAATATACAATAATTGAACTATAACGTATAATATAAATAGTTTTATAAAATATTATTACAATATATAATAGTATTTACAACATATACAATATATTTATGATAAGAATTTATAATATTTATATAATACAATTACAATATATAATTTATAAATATAATTATAATATTTATAAATTAGTACAAAATATCTTATGATACAAAATTGCACGAAAATATCTAAAATGCATACAACATTCATTCAAAATTAAATCAAATGATTTTCAAACAGACGATTCAAATTATTCGTGATATTTATTAATTATCGACTTTTCATTACAAAACTTATTAAGGATTGCGTAATATGAATAAGTTGCGAAAAAATCGCCAATTCATTTACATTATCTATTATATTTCTTCATTAATTATTATATCTTATCATCAATTATATCTTTTAATTACAAAAAGAAAAGTATTTATATTGATATATTTTAATTTTTTAAGAAAGTTTGACAAGTGAAAAAATAAGCGAAATTTTGTATAAGCCAACGATCAAGTACAAAAATAATAATAGCAATTAAATATAAGATGAAAATATCTCGCGGATAATCTGATGATAACAATTCGAAAAATTAAAATAATTTCGCCCGATTGTCAGTTAATATCCGACAGGTAAAAAAAGAACAATATTAAATGTATAGAGCGACTATTTTTTAACGTATGTTTTACGTAGAATTCTATCGAGATTGATCCGCAAAGGAAAATTAAACGACTCGTCAAATGTCAAGAGTTCCGCTGCAAAATGGAACGAATCTCAGATCTTCCAGCTTATTCCCAATAGCAATGATTTTAACATTTCAATGAATCAATGACAATTATCATCACCATCTTTCATTCACAAGATCGAAATTTACGGGAAAAAATGTTCTTCCATTATTTAGAAATGTCTTTTTATTAATAAATAATGAAACTATTATAATATAACTATTTTTTTATGGAACTGTGCATGGTTACAAACGAGTATGTTTAAGGATCATGAAACATATGCGCATTTATCGCTTGTTAAATGTACAAGTACAATAATTTTCGGGTACCAACTGTTCGAGACGAGTCGAACCCAATAACAGCAAGATTTTGAAAAACTTCGTATTTAAATATTTCGCGACGTAAAATAAAAAATTATTAATTCTTTTATAATATATTTAATAATATTTTAATATATGTCGATATCTTACTGATATCAGGGTACCCATTCGACTTGCCTCGAATTTTTTAGTACTTGTACATTTCATGTATATTTGTGTGTATTAATATAGTATTATTGATATAATACTATACATATTAACAAAAGAAAAGCTTTATCAAATGTGTCACATTTTGCGCATATATTTCCTGCATGTAAAATATCTAACAAATTTCCTATATAAAATATCAAGCGAAAGTTATACTTAAAAATTAATATTAATGGTTTAAAAATGGCAGGATGTCCAACACCTAGAAATGATCTCTTAAAAGAGATCAAAAGTAAAGTTAATTAAAAATCAATTAATAAAACATATTCGTTCGTAACCATATATTTTGTTAAAAAAGATTCAGAAATGAACAAATAAATTACAATTTAAATTTACCTATTTGGTAAATTAATATTTATCTCTATATAATAGCTATATCTATGCTCAATGCTTTACTACTAATAATAAGTCTTTTTCAAAGCGATAAAAAATTTTTAAACCGATATTAATATTAAGAATAATAATAACAGAAGAAGATTTAATAAAAGAAGAAAAAATTCTTTATTCAAAGTATATTATTTAATTATAATTTCGTAATTCGACTTTAAAAAAATCTGTCGTTAACTCATTGTTAAAACCATTGCTTCCAGGAACTGTCGAAAAAACCTGGGTTTAATTCCAGCTCTGCAACGAAAACCCCTAATTTTCAACGAGGCATTGAATTCGTTGTAGATTAATTGTTCAAGAACCGACGAGAAATTATATTTCAATAAAGACCATTTCTTTGATAGTACGAACCGCGTTAGTATTTACACGAAAGACAATAAGATAGCAATCGCGCCTCAAACCAAAAAGACGAAAAAAAACGCGATGTTTGTAATATTAATTATACATTTATTTAACAAATATTATTCATTTATTTAACAAATATTTAATTTCAATTCGCAAATTCACGAATATATTTAATTGACAAAATCCCGAACTTCTAAATAATTTTGACAAATTGCGATTTTGCATTATCGAAAGAGCAAGTATTAAATTTCGCGAGTGAGAAATTAATATTGCATCGTTGGCTTAATATCAAATCACATACATTATTTAATCATTTTTATGTTACGCATTATAATAATTAAAAAGATATTTGAAACTACGAAAGTTAGAAATAAAAATTTACCGTATTTATTAACTTTCGTATCAAAAACAGACTATTAAATTCTAGAATAATTTTAAAATAAAATGTCTAAGATAAGACATTGTCTAAGACAACGAGTATTTATTGGATATATATTCATTTTGTAAACTTTGTGTTATGTATTATGTGCATTTTTTCAATTTCGTGCAATTAATATAATTTACAATATATGTAATTATATATATATACAATATATATAAATTATTACAATATATAAA